CAAAAACAGAAATACAGATCAATGGAACAGGATAGAAAGCCCAGAGATGAAACCACGCACCTATGGTCAACTAATCTATGACAAAGGAGGCAAGGATATACAATGGAGAAAAGACAGTCTCTTCAATAAGTGGTGCTGGGAAAACTGGACAGCTACATGTAAAAGAATGAAATTAGAACACTCCCTAACACCATACACAAAAACTCAAAATGGATTAAAGACCTAAATGTAAGATTGGACCCCATAAAACTCTCAGAGGAAAACATAGGCAGAACACTCTATGACATAAATCACAGCCAGATCTCTTTTGACCCATCTCCTAGAGTAATGGAAATAAAAACAAAAATAAACAAATGTGACCTAATGAAACTTAAAAAGCTTTTGCACAGCAAAGGAAACTATAAACAAGACGAAAAGGCAACCCTCAGAATGGGAGAAAATATTTGCAAATGAAATCAATGGACAAATGATTAATCTCCAGAATATATGAACAGCTCATGCAGCTCAATATTAAAAAAACAAAAAATCCAAAAATGGCCAGAAGACCTAAATAGACATTTTTTCAAAGAAGACAGACAGATGGCCAAGAGGCACATGAAAAGCTGCTCAACAGCACTAATTATTAGAGAAATCCAAATCAAAACTACAATGAGGTATCACCTCACACCAGTTAGAACGGGCATCATCAGAAAATCTACAAACAACAAATGCTGGAGAGGGTGTGGAGAAAAGGGAACCCTCTTGCACTGTCGGTGGGAATGTAAATTGATACAGCCACGGTGGAGAACAGTATGGAGGTTCCTTAAAAAACTAAAAATAGAATTACCATATGACCCAGCAATCCCACTACTGGGCATATACCCAGAGAAAACCATAATTCAAAAAGACACACGTGGGCTTCCCTGGTTGCGCAGTGGTTGAGAGTCCACCTGCCGATGGAGGGAACATGGGTTCGTGCCCCGGTCTGGGAAGATCCCACATGCCGCGGAGCGGCTGGGCCCATGAGCCATGGCCGCTAAGCCTGCGTGTCCGGAGCCTGTGCTCCACAACGGGAGAGGCCACAACAGTGAGAGGCCCGCGTACCGCAAAAAAAAAAAGACACATGTACCCCGATGTTCACTGCAGCACTATTTACAATAGCCAGGTCATGGAAGCAACCTAAATTGCCCATCGGAGATGAATGGATAAGGAAGATGTGGTACATATATACAATGGAATATTACTCAGCCATAAAAATTAACGGAACTGGGTCATTTATAGAGATGTGGATGGACCTAGAGACTGTCATACAGAGTGAAGTCAGAAAGAGGAAAACAAATATTGTATATTAACGCATATATATGGAATCTAGAACAATGGTATAGATGAACCGGTTTGCGAGGCAGAAACAGAGACATAGGGTAGAGAACAAACGTACAGACACCAAGTGGGTAAAGCAGTGGAGGGGTGGGGTGGGGTGGGGTGGTATGAATTGGGAGATTGGGATTGACATATATTATATACACTAATATGTATAAAATAGGTAACACGGGGTCTACTCTTCATTGCAGTGTGCGGTCTTCTCATTGCGGTGGCTTGTCTTGTTGTGGAGCATGGGCTCTAGGTGCTTCAGTAGCTATGGCACATGGGTTCAGTCGTGTGTCTCGCAGGCTCTAGAGCGCAGGCTCAGTAGTTGTGGCACCTGGGCTTAGTTGCTCTGCGGCATGTGGGATCTTCCCAGACCAGGGCTCGACCCCGTGTCCCCTGCATTGTCAGGCGGATTCTTAACCACTGCACCACCAGGGGAGCCCCCTCATTTTTGCCACTTTTATTCAACATAGGTTTTGGAAGTTCTAACCATGGCCATCAGAGAAGAAAAACGTATAAAAAGAAAAGGAATTCAAATTGGAAAAGAAGTAAAACCATCACTATTTGTGGATTACATGATATGATACACAGAAAATCCTAAAGATGCTACCAGAAAACTACTAGAGCTCATCAATGAATTTGGTAACGTGACGGGATACAATATTAATACACAGAAATCTGTTGCATTTCTATATACTAACAACAAAAGATCAGAAAGGGAAATTAAAGAAAGAATCCCATTTACCATTGCATCAAAAAGAATAAAATACCTAGGAATTAACCTACTTAAGGAGCCAAAAGACCTATACTCCAAAAACTGTAAGACACTGATAAAGAAATCAAAGATGACACAAACAGATGTCTAAAGATATACCATGTTCTCATATTAGAAGGATCAATATTGTCAAAATGACTATACTACCCATGGCAATCTACAGATTCAATGCAATCCCTATCAAATTATTGTACCAATGGCAATTTTCACAGAAATAGAACAAAAAATTTTATAATTTGTATGGAGACACAAAAGACCCCAAAGAGCCAAAGCAATCTTAAGAAAGAATAACAGAACTGGAGGAATCAGGCTTCCGGCCTTCAGACTATACTACAAAGCTACAGTCATCAAAACAGTATGGTACTGGCACAAAAACAAATATAGATCAATGGAACAGGATAGAAAGCCCAGAGATAAACCCATGCACCTAAATGTCCATCAACAGAGAAATGGATAAAGAAGATGTGGTACATATATATAAAGAATGAAATATCTATAAATGAAATTATATAAAGAATGAAATAATGGATGGATCTGGAGATGATCATACTAAGTGAAGTCAGACAGAGAAAGACAAATATCATATGATATCACTTATATGTGGAATCAAAAAAAATGGTGCAAATGAACTTATTACAAAACAGAAACAGATTCATAGACTTAGAAAATAAACTTATGGTTACCAAAGGAGAAAGGTGGGGGGGAGGGATAAACTGGGAGTTTGGGATTGATATATACACACTACTATATTTAAAATAGATAACCAACAAGGACCTATTGTATAGCACAAGGTACTACGCTCAATATTGTGTAATAACCTAAAGGGGAAAGAATTTGAAAAAGAATAGATACATGTATATGTATAATGAATCACTTTGCTGTACACCTGAAACTAACACAAAATAATCAACTATACTCAAATAGAAAATAAAAAAATTTTAAAAATGGATTAAAGACTTGAACTTAAGACCTGAAACTATAAAATTCCTAGAGGAAAACATAGGTGGTAAGTTACTTCACATTGGTCTTAGCAAATATTTTTTGGATTTGACACCAAATGCTAAGCCAACAAAATCAAAAATAAACAAGTGGGACTACATCAAACCAAAAAGTTCCTGCACAGCAAAGGAAACCATCAACAAAACAAAAACGCAGGGACTTCGCTGAGGTCCAGTGGTTAAGACTCTGTGCTCTCAATGTAGGGGGCCCAGGTTCGATTCCTGGTCAGGGAACTTGATCCCAAATGCTGCAACTAATAGCCCACGTGCCGCAACTAAAAGGGCCCACATGCCACACCTAAAGATCCCACACGCAGCAACGAAGATCCTGTGTGGCACAACTAAGAGCCAGTGTGGCCAAATAAATAAATAAATAATAAAACAAAACAAAACAGCAACCTACCTAATGGGAGAAAATATTTGCAAATCATATATCTGATAACGGGTTAGTATCCAAAATATATAAAGAACTCATACAACTCAACAGCAAAAAAATAGTCCAATTAAAAAATGGGCAGATCTGAACTGACATTTTTCCAAAGAGAACATACAAGTAGCCAACAGGTAGACAAAAGGTGCTCAACATCACTAATCATGGGGGATATTATGGAAATCATAACAGGTATGAGATACCACCTCATATCTCTTAGAATGGCTATCATTAAATAGACAAGAAATAACCAGTGTTGGTAAGGCTGTGGAGAAAAGGGAACCCTTGTGTATTGTTGGTGGGAATATAAATTGGTGCAACCACTATGGAAAACAGTATGGAGGTTCCTCAAAAAATTAAAAATACAACTACCATATGATCCAGCAATTCCACGTCTGGGCATTTATCCAAAGATAATGAAAACACTAACTTGAAAAGATGTCTGCACTCCTATGTTCACTGCAACATTATTCAGAATAGCCAAGATAAGAAATAACCTGTGTCCATCAACAGATGAATGGATATAGAAAAAAATGTGTGTGTATACATACACACACACACACACACACACACACACACACACACACACATATATATAATGGAATATCATTCAGCCATAAAAAAGAAGGAAATCTTGCTATTTGTAACAACATGGATGGACCTTGAAGGCATTATGCTGAGTGAAATAGGTCAGACAGAGAAAGACAAATAAGACAAATACTGTACAAACTTCAAGTAATAAGTCATGGGGGTGTAATGTACAGCATGGTGGCTTTAGTAAATAATACTGTAGTGCATATTTGGAAGTTGCTAAGAGAGTACATATTAAAAGTTCTCATCACAAGAACAAAAATGTTTTGTAACTAGTATGGTGACAGATGTTAACTAGACTTATTGTGATCACCTCACAATATAAACAAATAGCTAATCACATTGTCCACCTGAAACTAATATGTCAATTATACCTCAATTAAAAAAGAACACTTAATATCCTTCTAAGAGAGGACTGCCAGTGTCCCTCTCTCAGGAGCCTATGTACTAACTGGGGAGTCTGAGGGGAGCCTCCCCATCCTAAGAGAACCATGGAGGAGGTCAGATGAGGGATAGCTTGTCCTCCCCAGGCTGGTCCTGGGAGCTAGTTAGCTGGCCTGTGCTGGGGGAGGGGATGTCAGAGTCCTTCAGAAGTGCTTGGCAGAATCAAGGCAGGAGCAGGGAGACCTAAGGCTCTCCGCCCCTGCTGCCACCCAGTCAGCTGGGCTTCTGTTTTCTCTCCCGGAGTTTGTGTTGGTCTCCCTTGTGGAAAAGGGTGGGCAGCCTAGGAGAGCGTGGAAGCCCTCCACCGCTGGCTTACAGGCCAAGTAACAGCTCCCAGGCCTGGCACACACAGCACCTGGACAGGTTTCTTCCTCCCCTCACCCAGTCCTCCTGACTTTTGCTCCCCAGACCTTACCTGAGAAAAAGAAAGATGGTTCTCGGGGACTTGGCCCTCAGGTTCTCGGGGGCCTGGCGTTCCAGGTGTGGCCTGAGGGCCTCTAGCAGTCCTGGGTGCAGCTTCTCAGCCTCATCTAAAATGAACAGGGTCTGGTGGCAGTGCTCCTGCGTCTTCCTGATCTGGCCTGCAAGCTGCTCCTGCACAGAATACAGGGAGCTGCTGAGGTGCAGTGGGAGGCACCTTCTACCCCTGAGGGCCCTGGTGAGGCACTGGTTTCCCCAGGGCGCCTGCAATGGATCACCTGGAGCTGGGTTCCACCGCAGAACCACCAATCCAAACCTCTGGGGGTGGAGCTAGGGCATCTGCCTCTAATGAGCTTCCCAGGTGATTCTCCTGAGCCCTGAGGTTTGAAAGCCAACTAGGTGGAGCCAGCCTGGGGAAAGGGAGAGGGCTTTTGGGGAATGGCCCCAGCCATGCTCCCTCCCCTTCAGGATGAGGTTCCGTCCCAGAACTAACCCTAACTCACCCTCCCCAGGGATAGGATTCAGGCTCTCACAGGGGGATGATAGGCAGAGATAGGCTTGAATGCCCACAGGTGCCGTCCTGAACTCCCACAAGCAGAGCACCCACTGGCACCAGGCTGGGCTCTCAGGGAAGAACCCAGGGGAGGACCTGTTTGGGACCCAGCCAACTCAGACCTGGGGTTCCCCACCCCAGGCAGGATAGTAAGCCCTCTATAGTGAAAAGATGCTGCTCTACAGGGTTCAGGAGAACAGGGCCAGCCCCTGCCCCAGGGTGGGGTGTTTTAGCAGAGCCCACACTCACCATCCACCTCTAGCCTTCCTGGATTCTGACTTCAGCCCCATCTCCCCATAGTGTGTGTGAGAGGATGGGCAGGGATGAGAGTGATTTTCACAGCGAGGGAGCTGAGATTCACAGCTGTTTTACTGCAAAGCCAGCCAGTTCTTACTGGGAAGGCCCGGCTGACCAGCTGCCTGCCCTTAGAACACATTAGCCTACCCCTGCCCTCCTGGGCTGCACTGAAAGATTGCCAGGCAATCTGTCCTCAAAGGCTTACATAATCTTCCCAGGTTAACACACTACAAATATTGGAACTAAAAGCCAAAGGTAGACACAACCACCTCTGTCATGCTGCATTGGGGTTTGGTCATCGTCTGGCTAACATGTCTGAATGAAACCCAAAATAGCAGAGCAGCAAAGACACTTTCTGCCCTCCACTTGTTGACATATAATGAGTAGTTTGGGGAAATCATGGAAAAATCACTTTTGATAAGCCTGTTTAAAAAAACAGTGGGATATGCAACTTTCTGTCCAATATAATTACAGTGACATAAAAGAGCGCAGGGGAATGGCCTGAAGGAAGTACACCAAAATGCTAACTGTGGTGGTGTCCGTGTGGGGAGATCATGATAAAGTTTTTGCTTTCTCTGTTCCACACTTCCTGAGGCACTTCCACTACTCCTGCGACAGAAAAATCAACACACGAAGTCTCTGGTTAAGCTCACTGTCTGGGCTCTCCTGTATGGCTGGGAGGGCGACAGCTCGGGACGAATAGCGTTTGGGACATCACTCTTTCCTCCATGTGTTCAGGGCCTCATCTGTGTGGAGTGGATGCCTCTGTGGGTTACAGGTTCCCTCGCAACTGCGCCGTCCTCCAACCGCCACACCCAGGGCTGGCTTCAGCACCCCCTTCCAGCACAGGGGCCTGCGCCTCAGCTGCCGGAGCCTCAGCCGGGCTCGGCCCCACTGGCCCAGCTCCCCGGCACGGCCGGCCTCACCTGGTACAGGTCCACATACTTGCGGTGAGGGAAGTGCAACGTGGCGATGAACACCTTGACACAGTCGCTCCCCAGCCCGTCCCGGTACAGGTTCTCTGCCAGCATCCGCGCCACGAAGTTCTTGCCTGTGCCAGACCAGCCGTGGAACGACAGAGCCAGGGCCTTGTCTGGCCGGGGCAGCTCCAAGTAGCCCCTGGCTGCTGTCAGGACCAGCTGCCGGGCCAGGTGCTGGCCGTGCAGGCGCACGCGCAGATCCGCCTCTAGGCCTAGGGCCAGGAAAGAGCCATGCTGAGAGGTGCCCACAGGTGCGTCCCCACCAGGCTCGGCGACAGCCAAGAGACTGAGCACGCATAGACTGAGCATCTATGAGGTGGAAGCCATCCTGTTTGGTGGCCTCAGGACAAGAAGCCACTGGGCAGACCTTGCAGCGGAAGAGATTCAGGGCTATTTTCTGAAGAGTTTGAGAAATCAAGGTTGACTTCACCCTTTCTGAAGGTCCTGAAGACACCCCAGAAGGGTTGGCAGAATCCTATCCGGATGAGGAAGTTGCTCCCACCCAGAAGTTTCAGGACCCCCTAAATATTTTGTGGAGACACCCTCATTTTATTCATTCTAATTCAATTCAGCAAACACCTAATGGAGGCAGCTAGTGTGTGCAAAGCCCTCCTCCAAGGCTTTCCTTCCTCTCAGCCATGAGGTCGCAGGGTTTCGATCAGGAGCCGTGGTGGAGACAGGGAGGGTGTGCTGCCAGCTGTGGGCAGGCAGAGGTTGGGTCCCTTCACCCTAGCATTTTCCTGAATTGCCTCCCCTCCCCACAGATTCCTGGGCCTTAGGGCCATGTAAGGTCCAACCTGTGAAGTTATTGATGATCCTGCAGTCCCCATTGTCACAACAGTCCTGGAAGCTGCAGTACCAGGTGGTCAGGATATCCAGGTACTGCTGGCCCAACAGGGGAAGGCTCCAGCCTGGAAAAGGAGGAGCTGTGAGACAGGGACGGAACCCAGGGCCCAGGGAGAGCTGAGCACTGCCTCCCTTCTCCCGTCCTCTCTCCAGAGCCACTCCCTGCTGCTCTGCCCTGGGCCTTCCTTATGCCGCACTAGGGAATGGGCACAAATGGGCACCTCCGGCTATGAGGAAGTAGATGGCCTTGCTATATATAGATGCAGCTCCGGCTGCAGCAAAAGCTCAGTTTACTCAACAAATAAGCCTTAAGCATTTGTGCCAGACGTGTAAGAAACCCAAGCCCTGCCTGCAAGGAGTTTGGAGCCTAGGAGGGAGACACACAGTAACTGGTGATTATCATTCTTCCTACTTGCTTTGGATTGCAGAATCATCTGATCACGGCCAACCCCAAGTGTCTCGATTCTTTTATCGAATGTCAATTTGAATATGCTCAGCATTAGCAAAAACGAAACAAAAACCATTCACTGGAATTTAGAACTCTCGATTTAAATGGAAAATATTTCTAGCACCACTGCAGCATTACCGTTACAGTACTATTACAGGACCTAGAAATAACGACATCGACTGCAAGGAGCTTCAGAGATCACTGGGTCCACGACCGTGACGTGACAACCCTGCCTCACAATTTGTCAGTGACAGAGAATAAATCAGAACTCAGGTCCGGTGGACTCATAGCCCAGCCTCCGCCGCCATAAGCAGCAAAGGGGAAGAAGGTACTTGGGGGTGTATCCAACTGGGGACTTTCCTTAAAGCCATCAAGAAGGTGGGCAAGGGCAGCTCCTTGGAATGATGCCAGGGCAGGTTCGGAGACAGCAGGGAAGTGTGATCCGTCTGGAGGAGTCAAGAACGGGTGACGTGGGGGAGCGCAGCCAGGCCCACTCGTCTAGGGCGCTGCGCCAGGGCTGGGAACGAGGGCAGTGACGGGCCTTCCTGGTCCCGCAGAGGCTCCCTGCCCTCAGCCTGGCCCAAAGGCTGGGCGGAATAGCAAAGCCGGCGGCTAAGGCGCCCGCCTGGTGACCCCGATCACAATGGCCCAGGGCTGGCGCGAGACTCTGACCTCCATGCCCGGATTCCATCGTGCCTCGCGCACCCAGCCCGCGCTGTCCCGCCCTCCTGAGCCGGCGGGTCTTACCCTGGGGCCGCGTCGGCGCCTCCTCATCCTGCCTGCATCCCCCGGGCCACACGCGGCAGCTGAAGAGAGCCCAGTAGCGGCTGCAGAGGGAGCCGGCCGCCCTCAGCCGCTCCCGCAGGCCCTGGAAGGCCGGCCAGGACCCGGCCGAGCCCGCCTCCTCGGCTCCCTCCCTCGGCCTCGAGCGGCCGCCGTCTCCCCACGTGCCCGGGGGCGGCAGCAGCAGCAGCAGGAGCAGGAGCCAAAGCAGACTCCGCGGGCCGCGAAGCATGGCCAGGTCGGCAGCCGGTGCCTCCGCTGCCGCTCCTCCACGGCCCTTTCCAGCCCCCGGTGGGCGGGCGAGCGCCGGCACTTCCGAGGCCCGGATTGGCCGGGGATTGGCGTTGCCACGGGAACCGCAGGCGGGCAGAGCTCCCCTCCCATGTGACCCAGGGCGAGCCAGACGCCGGCCGGGAACCGAAACCCGGATGGTGCCCCGGAGGGCATCCCGAGGCCGTTTGCAGGCGCCGCCCACCCACCGGAGCTTGCTGCCAGGCAGCAAGCAGTCTCTTCTGGATGATTGTGGTTGCAAAGGTGTTGAAGTCAGGCCTTAAGATGGCCACTGTCAGTAATCACCCAGATACTTTCGGGCAGCTCTGGTGGCCCATCTGCGGCCTACTTAAAACGGGCGCCCACTTGTGCCCTGTCTCGTGTCTGCAGATCAACTTCTTGCCAACCTGTTAGACGAAGTCGGGCAACCATCTCACCCAGGAGCTTGAGTTGGCCAGGGCAGTCAGCCCGGGCGTGGCTCCTCTACAAAGGGAAATGAAACAGAAAGGCAAATAATCAGCAGGTTTCCACAGCTGGAGTCCACCAAAAGCAAGAGGAAGCTGGTGGGCTCCAGTCTGGAGATATGTGGGCTTTGGAAGCTCCCAGAGCCATGGGAAAATCACGAGGTCTCATATCAATGTTATCATAGCCCATTATAAACAAGTTAGGCCCAGTACTGGGTGCACTTCCTTGGCTTTAAGTTTGCAACTTTCAAATGCTTGTGGCTGTGAGCAGCTTCTCAGACACCACTGGCAAAAGACCTTGGAGCCTCTTTCCTGGGACTCTTGTTCTCATAACCTGAGCAGGTAACAAGGTCGCTAGATTTTGGAAGAGCTTAATGCATTTTTCAAAATCACCTGAGTTACTGAAGCCACTGGCCTAAGAGCCATCTTGTCCTAGAAAGAAACTGCTGTCTCGAAATCATGGGACTTGACTAATTTCATAGGCTCAGTGGCTTTGAGGCTGGCCTCTCCATACAATAAGGTGAATCCTAGCACCAGATCTGTCACAGCCAAATTGATTCGTATGTTCATTCCAGTCTCTTAACACTCAACGCCAGGTCTGTTCCTTCCTCAAGAGCTCACCAAATGTGCTCCTGCCTTTAATTCAAACAGCAATAGAGAAAGAAAAAGACTTACAAAAACAAATCCAAAACAATTAACAAAATGGCAATAATATACATATTGATAATTTACAAAAGAGGAAAGAAAAAAAAAGACAAGACAAACAGCTGCATATATCAGATAAGCACCTGTGTGAGGATACCAAGAAAGTGAAATTGAAAAGCTACATTATGTATGCATATTGTATGTTTTAGTCATTCAGAGTGAAGTCAGAACTGAACTCAAACCTTCCACAGAGCAGTCGTGAGTACACCAGTGCTGAGTTATCTGCAATCAAGCTCGTGAAACCCTTGGAAGGACAATTAACAAGGAACACACCATTATGCTTATTTGGAAATTGAAAACATTAACTCATTCAATAAATGTTGTTTGAGCATGAATGGCAATCTAGTATAGTGATTAATTGAATGGCCCCTTTTCTGATACGTCACTTTGGGTGTTACTTAACTGTTCTATGCCTCAGTTTCCCCACCTCTAAGAGGGGATAATAAAATGGTCACTTCATAGGCATGCTGTGAGGGCTAATGAGCTTATTCAGTTCTACATTAACCTTTATTATTGTAAATGCCCCTGCCTTGGAGGAGACTGGATGGTCTACACAGGAGGCTTTGAAGACTTTACACTTGTGAAGTTCACAGGTGAATTTATGGTGATAAAATTACTAGTATTTACCCTGGCTTCTTTTTTTAAAAAAAATCCATGTTTTAAGACTATGGAAATAATTCTCTACTGGTAACTTTCATGTAGGTCTGATAATTTTTGAGATTGGATTTTTATTTGGATTTCACATTTCATGATAAATAAAGCAGGTAGCTTGGAAGTTCTTGGACAATTTGATTTCAAGACATCTTTTTCCTGAAAGAGTAATCTTTTTTCTTTTTTTTTTACCAGATCAGTCCCACATAGAAACAATGAATCCAAACACCAGTTTTTAGCTAAGCCTCTATTTCAAGTAAATTGCTAATATTTCATTCTCAGTGCTTGGAAGCTACTGGTTGTAACTCTAGGAGCAAGATCTCATAGATGATGGGGACATCTAGAGGCTTTTGTGAAAACTATGGGTAGCTTTGATTCCTTAGCAAGCAAACTCAAGTGCTACTCATGAATGGCCCAAGGACCAGTGGCACTGGCATTGCCCTGGAGCTTGTTAGAAATGCAAACTCAGGCCCCAAACCTACTCAATCAAAATATGCATTTTAGCACAGTCTTTCAAAGAGAAAATGGGCACACAGCACCTTTACTGAGGTCATCTGAATGGGACCTAGCTTAGCAATTAGACAACTCCCCTACCCTGCTGAAGGCCGTCAGAACATCATCCGCCTTGAAAACAACATTTGGGTAAAAATCAAGTCTTTATCTCCAAATAAATTTGGCCATGTAAAAAGCAAACTCTGAAAAGATAAAATGAATGTTTCACAGCTAATCTATAAGCCAATGGCTCCTTTAACATCTATGAAGCAGAGCAACTGAAGCATCACCGTGGACTGAGGCTTCCTCTCAAGAGGCAGGGCACACCGAAAACCAAAGGAAACCCCTGAAGGGTTATTTCTGGTGACCCAGGTACTGAAAACAGAGTACAGGCCCAGGAAGCTCTGTGTCTTCCACAGACACGGCTTTGCATTTCTGGAGTCAGGGGTTCTACACACACCACATGTCAAGCCTGGATTGATCTCCCCTTCTTCCCCAAGGTAGGTCTGCCTCCCGCTCACTCTCAACCTCCTGTGATTCTTTCCTGCGCCTTATTTCCCCTGTAATTCACACGATTCCTGAGGCATTTGGTACTTCACAAGTAGTCTCTTCTGCTAGGACTATGGGCTCCTTGAAGGAAGGGACAGTCATTATCATCTTGATGGCCTCCAGCACAAGGCCCAAATGTCTACTGAAGACCAGTGCTTTACACACTGTGACTTCATTCTCTTAATTCCCTCGGATTTATAAAGCGGCTTATCTTACAGAATTCACCCATGCTAAACCAGTGGTTATGACCATTCTTGTCTATTTTACAAAATGAGGGCTGCTAAAAATCAGTTTTTATAGGCAAATACAGTGGGTAAAATGAGCCCATAACAGAACCTCTCCCTCCTTACTCCCAGCTGCCTTTTCAGGCTTTAATGCTGGTATGCTTGAGAAGAAAATGAAGCCTGAAATTTCACCTGGAAAATGATCGTATGAGGTGAGTCAGCGAGGAACCTGTTAACTAGGCTTTAGCCTCCCTTTGGTATTCAAGTGCAAGTGACAAAAACTGGCACAAACAAAAATGCTACAAATCAAGTAAAAATCTTGAGAACTCTGCTCAGTTGTCTGGTTGAGGTTTATGATGCTGCATTTCCATTTCAAAATTTAAAAGTCTGGGTGTCCTAAGAATTAGAATCAGGGCAGCTGGTCTTTTCTTCCAGGCCTCTATGATACTGTGCTGACAAGTTCTTTGGGATTCATAATTCTTTATCTCTAAAGAAGCTGAAAGAAAGAAGTTAACTATTAAATAAACAAAAAGCACCTAAGAATTATCCTACTGAAATTCTCGGTTCAGTCACAACCTGATATGGGCCTTCTGAAGACTAGTGAGAAGTGTAAAGGTCTTATCCGTAGATTCTGTGAAACAATCCCTGTGGAAGTTTATGTGGATGCAGAAGATGTAATCTTCTGTCCCCTGACAAAACAGGAAATCGGAATTGAAAACAACGGAAGTATCCCGAACCGGGGTGGGGAGGTGGGGAAAGAATGAGGAAAAGATGGTACATCAGTACTTATTAAAATCTTTATTCATTTGCTTTCTTTCAGAATTGAAACCCATAGAACACATTAGAAATTTAGGTGCATATCTGTCTTGTTTGGTATCTTACCAAGCACAACCTCTATTTGTGCAACAGCTCTGAGAGGAAATCCTTGGCAGATCAAAACAGAGGGTAGTGGTTCCTACACCTCTCTTTGAAGCAAATAAATTAACTTCCCAGTAAGTTATTCCCAGTTCCCCCACAGACATTTTGTATTTGTGAGTAACACCTTAGTTCCTTAAAATCCCGTGGCAGTAGAGTATCCAGCCCTCACCTTTTCAACCCAGACTTGAGGCGTCGAAGGGGGAAAGCTGGCCTTCCCCTGTACAACAGTCTCATGAGGCTGGTCTATGTGCCTTGGGCGTCGGCCCTGGCTAGCACAGGAGGTGTTTGCTGAATGGATATCTTTATGTCACTTAGACTCACTCTCAGAGACTAAGAGAACCTTTTCCTAGCTTCAGGTTCTTCAGCAACAGTGTTTCCCTGTGTCAAAATAAATACATTTTTTCTTGTTAGAATACATATATGACTATATATATACATATACCTTGACTCATGTTTCCTGAAGCCCAAGCTCACAAGACGACTCACATAAGACAGCTCACTGATAGATGCTGTTTACCATCATTGGAGGTGTGGTCAGGTAATGGTCAAACAAGAATACGGAAGCTGTGGAGAAGGGAGGGTGAAGGAACATGGTGGATAGGAGGGGAAGGCCAAAAGCCTTTTTTTTTTTTTTTAAAGAAAGGAAAAGATGGATTTCTTTGGAAGAACATGTTGCCTTCAGGTGACACGGAATTTCTGCCATGTATAGGATTCATCTTTCCCAAAATAATAGGATGTACCTGAATTCTCCCATTTCCTTATTAAATTTCACTTGACATATTAATCCTGAGTGCAAATAGGGAGAAATGCCTTATTAATAAATTACTGAGCAATACTCTGAGTAAATCAGATCCTATTAATGTTTTGCACAGAAAATTATTTACCCCCAAAACCCAAAATACAGCTTCATATTAAATGACAATTCTAGAATGAAACCTCTATACCCATATTCGCCCAAA